AGAGAGGCAGACAGACTGAAAATGGGCTTTTCTCATACAGTCTCTACAGATATTCAGAAGTTTTACTGCCTTAAAGGAAGCAAAGAGGCTTTCATTTTCTGAGCCTTTCTATGTGCTCATCATTTCTGTGAGGCAGGCATTGCTTCCCATTTTACACATGGCAAAAATGAGGTTAGTAGTGGATAAGTAATTTACTCAAAGGTCCTAGGAAGAAAAGAACTGAATAAGGAGCCCCTGAATCTTTGCACTCCTCCCCCCACAGTAAGCCTAACAGGTTAGACAGTGAAGAAACGTGCTGCAACCTCCTAAGTTTAGGCTTCCCAGTGAATGAGTATTCCTAGAATATACAACAATCATGGCCATCGCACTGAGTACCAACTACATGGGGGATGTTAGACACACCCATTTTTTATGATTTTCACAGAAATCCTGCCTGGTAAATCTCTTCACCTTTTTTTTTTTTTTTTTTTTTTTTTTTCCCAGGCAGGGAAACTAAAGGCCACAGAGATTGATTTGCTCCAGTGCATTGATTTTTTGTTGCTTCTGTAACACATTATCTTAAATTTCATGGTTTAAAACAACCCAAATGTATCCTGCAATTCTTTGGGTTAGAAGTCTAACACAAATCTCACTGCACTAAAATCAGCACAGCTGTCTCTTTCTGGAACTCTAGAGGAGAATCTGGCTCCTTGCCTTTTCCACTGTCGATACATGGCCAGTGGTCAATGAATATTACTTGTGATCCCTTTCTGCTGTCTTGAAAGCCAGCAATGGCGGGTTGAATCTTTTCCACGAGGCATCTTTTGCTGATTTTGCATAGTCATGCCTCTCTGGCTATGGCTGAGAAAGGCCTCTCCACTTCTATGGACTCTTGGTTAGTCTGTGTCCTCCTGGATAATGCAACCTACCCTCAGGGTTTCGTGTGAGGTGATACATTCATGGTTCTGGGGATTAAGATGCAACCACCTTTAGAAAGAGGCATTATTTTGCCTTCCACACCAAGCTTAAAAATTACTAAAGGGCCTAGAATTACTAAAATCTGGATTTTGTAGATTTGGCCGAAAAGTCTTGTTGTTGTACCTTCAAAAATATATCCAGAATCCTACCACCACCATCTCTACTACTGAAAAATAAATACTGTAAACTGAAATGGGTTATATATCTAGGCTTTTTCTGTACAGGTGCAAATCTAAGAAACTGATGTGACCCAAAACCTACAACTGGGGTCTAAGATGTTTCATTTGAATCACCAGGATTACTTCCAAATGGGACAACTTTAATATTGTCTCAAATTTCATTTTCTTTACTCATTCATGACTAAAAATTCTAGGACCTTTACATTTGAGTATACTTTTTTTGAGAAATTTTCTCTGTGTTTAAAGATAAAGAATGTGGAAAATATAGAAATTTTTTGACAAAAGTTTAAAAAACCATCCTCAATCCTATGGCTTTGGTGGGAGATAAAATTCTGATATGAGATAATTTAGAATTGCATCACCAAAGAAAGATTACACTTAATTTTGATTTTACTCTGGAAAATTATTCAGTGAACACATTTGGGATATTGGGAAATGGAACATGGAGCTTATCTAAAACGGTCAAGGCCCTGAAACAATAAACAGTATTATTTTTATATCCTTCAGAATTTTGTTTTTTAAAGTCAAAAGTGTACAAGTGAGTGGAACTGGTAAAAGAGAAAGAATTTATGACATCAAAACTCAAATCCTCAAACACTTGGCAAGAAAACATTAGGTGCTCTGACTATTATTTGTTAAGAAATGCCTCAGAACTAACAATTACAAATTGGGAAATCATCGACTCCAGCCATCTTCCGGGTTCTCACAAAGGTCCTGTGAGGCACAGAACTTCCTCCTCTCCATTTTACATCTGGATCTATTACAGCCCACAAAAGTGAAACGGAGGAGTCTGAAGTCCAGCCTAGGAAATGTGCTCAACTCCTAGACTTACTGCTTCTGGTGTGTTTCTTTAAAATACAACGAAGCCAAAACGTCATGTACAACTTTTATCCAGAGTTATCTCCACACATGAAGAAGCAGTGGAGGGTGAGGTGAGTAGCAGAGACTCCCAGTCACACCCTGGGCTTGGCCTGAAGTTCTGGCAACAGCCCAGTGGCTCCTCTTGGACAAGCCATACAACCTTACTGAGGTTTAGCTGCTTTCTCTGTAACACAGGCTAAAGATGCCTATCTCAAAGCATGGCCTGGTGGGGTGGGGGATGAAATGAGCTCATACCTGAAAAGCATTTGGCACAATGTCTAACTCAAAAGAATGGTACTCATTATGATTCCTGATAATCACTGTTACATTAGGGACCTTAGGTTAAATTCAGCATAACATAATGTGGGTCCTCTCGTTCATTAGAGAAAAATCGTACAAAAACTCAGAGTGCAGGGGAATGTCTGAGAGGTAACAGGAAAAGAATGAAGGGATGTGAGAATGCATCCCAAACATTTGGGCCTGTGGAGAGAGAAGCATGCTCGGCAGGCAGACATGCTCATGAGATGAGTCTGGAATGCTTTTGGGTGCTGAGCTTGAGGAGGATCCATGGGGTTGGGAAGAGCAGCCTCGGAGGGTGGGAGCTCAGTGGTGCCAGTAAGGAAGGAAAGCACAGGTGCCTGTCCCTGGCCTCCTCCACTTTCACAACCCAATGCTAGGGAGAAAAGGGATTCCAGTGGGGGTGAGGGGGGAGACTTTTGAGAATAAAGAGCCAGAGTTCAAGAAAAGCAGATGGTCAGCCTAGCCAGCTGCCCTCAGGTAGAGTCAGCTCAACCACACTCAGTACCGTAAAGGAGATCTATTTATTCTGTAATTAGCAAATGATAAGAAGAAAGCTTTCTTCCGTCTTGGCACGAAGTTCTGGAATGTCCGCTTACAACACTGGTATGCTATCAAAAGATTTCATATCCTGAAACTTTTGCTGGTGTCACTGGCCCTGAGACGGTCTGGAAGGGAGCAAAAGCCGGTATCATTCTGATAACAATCAAATCCTTGGATTTATATAATGTGACATGACTTGACCAGCATTGTTTAGGTCTTGGCATAGCTACAAATACCTAGGGCAGAACACTAAAGGAAAAGCCGACTCTGAAAGTTTGCTCAGAATACATATGAGGGAATTCACTGGTTAAATCAAATACATGTCCAAACAAGTACTGGTTTGCCCAGGGAGTACACGGAGCTGGCAAGGCTCCCTTGGCACGAAGAGCGTGAGTAATGCTTCATTTTAATGAGGGATCCTGGGGGGTCGCGGATGAGAACTACGTGGTATTTCCCATGTGTCTGTTTGGAATGTGGAGTGATTGCACACACAGTGGAGGAAAAGTCACAGAAAGCACAGCTCCTGAAACCTCTGGGGTTCTACAAGATAATTTAACAGCATATAAATGAATCCTCAGAAATACACCACATTCCCCGAGAAGACTTCCATGCCCCACAGGTAAGCACATATGATTGCGGGAGAATGAGGCTGGAATTGGGGGTGAGCTGATCAGGATATGAGAGTTGATTTTTTAGATAATCTACTCTGTAAACTTTGTGGTAGCCCTGGGAGGAGTGTGTGGCTTCCTTACTTAATTCTTCTGAAAGGTTAACAGTCACTGATTATCAAGTACACAGCTGTAAAACACACAAAAACATTTCAAGACGTAGAGTTAGACACATTTCACCCATGAGTCCTGATCAACTGTACATTTTTTTCTTTATATCAGAGAAAATCAATACTTAAGGTGTGTGTGTGTGCGTGTGTGTGTGTGTGTGTGTGTGTGTGTATGTGTGTGTGTGAAATCCCTAGAAAGTGATGAGGAAACTGAACTTCTCCCCAGCCCGCATGAATAGTCTCTCCCTAGTTGATGGAGTGCAGATGGGATGAACTGGCCCCACACTTCTGCTAAGGCCTGTCATCTGGATGTCCCTCAGATCCAGCCATGTGGTCTGGCTTCCTGGCAGCAAATGCTCTTTCTGCTCCAATCTGGGGCTCGGAACTGTGCGACTGTTTACGCACAGTGTGTGAAGTCCCGTACTGACTGTACCTTATTTTATATTTCTAGGCTGGCCATAGTCACGGGGCCTCCCAAGAGCTCTGGGCTCCTGGAGGGATGAAGTATAGCTGCAGGGTGTTTAGAAGAACACTGCCCAGTCCTTAAAGCTTAAAGTCCAGGCTTAAAGGAGGCGATGATGGCCCAGGAGAAAGGAGAAAAGAGTCCCCAGAGGCAGAAACGTTGGTGGGAAGGACCTCATCTATGTGTGTTCATATATCAAACAGGACTTGGAATTAAAAAGAGAAATAAGAAATGCTCTGTGTTAAGATAAGCAACTTTTGAAGTGCTAAAACATAATAAAAAAATGAAGTTAATGTGAAGTCAACTTGCCAGGCAAAAACTCTTATCAAGCAAATCTGGCAGATCCTTCCTGGGGTTCCCTGTGCCCAACAGACTACACAGAGCCTCGTGGCTTATTTACCCAATATTCAAAAACAAAACTGAAAAATGCATTCAATATGTAAGAACCAATTATGGAATAGGTTTTAAATGGTGTTTACAAAATGTACATTTTCACTTCCTATTAAGCTTAACTTCATTGCCCGCAGAGGTCATTTCTTCTGTTTTCATTTGTGTTTGTTGCAACTCCCCCACTCCCCTTATCAAAAGCAACAACAACAACAACAAATCTCAAGCAAAAAGCCCTTAAGCTGTAAAACTAGTGTCCAAAGAAAACATTTAGTTTGAAAAAGAGTTGAAAAATGTGGCCTTGGAGGAAGCACTGCTTACATGGGATTGTTCAACAAATTCCTGCTGTGTGAGGTTTGGCGTATACTTTCTAAAAATATAAGCATCTGGGGAAACGAGACAAAGCCCAGGTCTTGGACCAAATGAAGCACGCAGTGTGAATCTGTTAGTGATTATATCCATAATGCAATATGTGCCCAAATTTAGCAGTGCAAAATACAATACAATACGAAAGCCCAGCAGGCACGGTCCTTACCATAATATATAGCCCACGGAGAAGGTGCATATGGCGGTGAGTCCGCTGCTCCTGCTGGGATACTGATGGTGTGATGTCCTCATCTCGATTAATATAAAGGGCAGAACCGTCGTGTGCTGAAAAAGAACAGAGACCAGGTGACACAGTTTCTTATCTTGCCTTTTTACAGTTGTTTTTTTTTTTTTTTCCCGGTAAGAGAATGAACAGTATAAATTATTGAGAATGAGCCACAACCCAAAGTCTGTGGCTCACCAAAGGAGAATGGACACAGAAACGCACAGCTGTACTGGTAATCTTCTTCTGAATCTTCAATTCTGAAATTTTATTGTTTTGGTACTGGGGACTGAACTCAGGACCTTGCACTTCCAAGGAAGGCGGCGGGCGGTGGCACCACTGAGCTAAATTCTGGACCCCTGAAATTTTATTCGATGTGATGTCCATAATAGGGGATTTCAAAAACAGAGACAGATGGACAGCAAAAACTTGAAACAAAAGCAGCAAAAATAACCATAGCTCATATTTTACTATACATGCTCTTTATCCTTCTTTGTTCATATTTATACATAATTAAGATCATACTGCATGTGTAGTGTTGTTTTAGATTTTTATCTCAACTTTGTAGCATGAGAATTTTTGATATGCCATTTTGGAAATTCTTCTAGAACATTAGCCCTGCCCGTAGCTGCCTGAAACCTCTATTATTATAGTATACTAACATTTATTTAGTAAATTTCTGTTCTTGGGAGTAAATAGTAAATTTATTTATAAGAAATGTCATAATGAACATGGTTTACAGAACTCTTTGTCTGAATGTTAAATTATTTCCATACAGTCAGAAGGTCTGAAGAGTTTAAGGATATTAACACATACCACCAAATGATGTGTGTACCCACATCAAGCAGGCAAACAATGGCAAATTCACTTCCATAAAAGTTGCACCAGTTTGCAACAGCAGGGTGTGGACTTAGATATGATGTCCGAAGGCAGATGCACAAGGAACTGGGTGGAACATTTCCTTTGTTTTCCTGATCCAGTGGCTACTGTACATGCTAAGTCAGCGGACTGGACTAGAGACTCAAGGCATCTGACTAGAAAGGTAAGAAGAAAGGAAAGTCATGTCTGCAAAGGTACAAGTACCCTTTTTATTGAAATTTGGTGGGTAGACATAAGGGTCCAAGAGCTTCTTAGATCAAACTGGGGCAAATATATATATATATATATAT